TTGCTTCTTCTTTTTACGATATACTACGCATGATTTATTTACAAACATGGTCATGTTCCAGCAGCGGCGGATCCTCTAGAACTTTGCTTAAAAATTCATAGAAGCTCTAGGGATTCCACTGCTCCGATCCCCACCCAACCCCACCGTTGGATCCGCCACTGTGTTCCAGTATGTTAATACTTATTTTAGATAGCTTTCAAATGGCTACACAGGTCAATGTACAAGAATTAAATACCACGTAGCCAATGAAATGGTGAAATAAAACCGTGCATTGAGGACACTCCCAATACAGAAATTATCATAGTTTCTATCAACATTAATTATACTACCACCTAAGCGCTTTGCTGATGTGGCAAGATAGTTATTGAAGAGAGAGAGAGCAAAAATCATAAAAACCGGGTCTAAATTAGAAACCATGTCTAAACGAGAAAAAAAGACATGAAGGGATATGATTTGCAGAGAACGGAGAGAGAGAATATATGTGATTAGATAAAAAAATTATTCTGTATAAACTATTCATTGGGACCATAATTTCTATATATAATGTCTATATAAATTAATAGATATAGAAGTTACACGTAGTTTTTAGTATTGGTACTGCCACGAGAGAGCAGTTTCATTCTATAAATTAGATCTATAAAGTTGACGTGATTGTCTTGGTACCTAAAAAATGAAACCATCCAAACTGGCGAATGGTTGTGGTGCTGCAACTTCGCTCCGTGTAACGTAACGTCAACCGGTGCGTATGCCAATTGCGTTGGGATGGGAACGAGCGGCGGCACACCGTGCCGAACCCAGCGCGAGGCCAGCCAGCCGCATGGGTTGCATTGTATAGGCCAGCCGTAGGCTGCCCAACCCAACTTGCAATCATGCATAGTGCCAAGATGTTGCGCGTTGCAGCCTGCGGACTCCGGTGGCGGTGCGGTGCTTGCGCAGCACCGTCCTCTACTCAAACTTGGTCGAAATACTGCTCGCTCTAAATCTTATCGCTTAGGATTAATTGCCACCGTAGAGCATCTGGTGATCTTTGTTCGTTTCGAAAGCAGCCATGGCTTTGATTCAGCGCCGTGGTGGACACTCGCATCTGCAGATCTGCTTGCGTTTGCTGCGGCGTCAGCTTTAGGAACCAAGCTCCTTTGATCTGGAATTGAGCATTAGTTTAGTGCAACTGCCCCTCGAGAGTCCGGAATCTTGTGACGACGATGGTGACCTGAATGATGCCGGAGGGTCAATAATGATGCCGGCGTGTGATGAACTTGGCCGGACCACCCGCTCAAGTGATGAGACTAGTTAGTGACGGATTAGGCGAGAGTGTGAGACATGACTCTGTTCCCTTGTTTGTGTTGGGATGTATTCTTAGGGAGATACCATGACAGATGGAGAACAGAAGATTCAGTGTATAATGGATCTCTAGTGGTGTCCTTCTCCTTCCTTTGCCAGATTCTCACTTGGCGTTCTATCTACACCACAGAAACATAAACATGATCTAGCTGGTAACAAAGAAATACATGGTCGATTTTGTCGAGTTGCAGGCAGTATATGCAAGCGCCACAACGGCACTTGCATCGCTAATGCACTACGTAATTTTATTGGACCACAAAACACAACGCGAACTCAAAATGGACCGCGCATACGTAGATGTCAGTGTCACACTCACACATCAGCCCACTGGTGGGGCAGCTCTGGGTCTAGTATTGTGAGTGTTACTATTACTACTCCTGTTGTCGCTAAGCTCGGACGGTCCAGCCAGTGGATGTCACGCTCGCAAGTCACACGCACAAGCCCAACCCCACACGGCTATTTCCAAATAGGAAAATAAGAGATCTTTTAAAAAAACAACATGGGTCCGCAACTCCGCATTTATCAGTACTCAGCTTATTCTCTCACCAAACATTGAATGAGGCCGAAATACCAGCCGCAGAACATGGCCTCTCCGTGTCCGTGTTATCATCCATCCCCCGCACCGCAGGGCGCGTGGACGCGAAGCTCCTCTCCCGACAGCCGCGTTTGTGAACGCCTTGCTCCACCCGCACGGCCGCACCGGCCAACGGCTTCGCCGTCGGCCCCGCGCGCCGCGCCCGCGACGTGATGTCGCTCTCGTCCTGCAGTGACTACAGCTGCAGCTGCAAGCAAATCCACAAAACCAACCACGGGCCGCGCCTCCTCTCTAGAAGAAAACGGACCAGCGGGAAAACTAGCCTGGGCGTCACGCAACGTGCGCGCGCTCGCCAGCGGGCAGCGGCACGGGATTTTCTTTTTCCTTCCTCGGCTGACACTGTCACGATTGCGGCGCCGCGCCGTCACGGCCTCGGTCACGCACCACGCACGGGGCCTTGCTTTGCCGCGGCAGGCAGGCACAGCGCACAGACGCGGCCGTCGCTTTTACCTCATCCCAGGAGTGGCGGGCGCGAAGGGAGGCTATGGACGGCGTTGGCTCCACGTCGGCCGGCCGGCCGGCCTGTCGTGCGAACGGCACGGGCGCTTCGCCCGGCTGTCTTTCCCTGGCCGTCCACGCGAACACGTCTGTGCTAGCTGGAGATTTGCCGGCCACCACTCAGTCACTAATAACACGACGCTCGCCGGCCGGCGCGGCCGTCAACGGCTCGTCAAAGATTTCCCGCTGCTGCCACGCGGCATCCTGCTACGCCTCAGCCTGAGTCTTAACTGGATCGGATTAATGGATCGAGTCAAACGCAGCGTGGATTTTTTAATCGAGGGACGTGTGGCTCTTGGACCTAACATCTGGCTAATTGCGCATTTTTTTCCTTGAGAAAGAAGGGAAAGCTAATCAGTATTCTATCGCGTGCGTGTGTAGCAGGACAGAGCGACCTGCCCCTGGCCGTAACTTGTGAAGCCTGCCTGCCCACTGCACGTACTGCTCGGTAACTTTCGGCTGTCAAATGGTTCTTTACCGCCGAAGGTTTGACCGCTGCTCCGGACGGGATCGGGCGCCGCGCCGAAGGTTGTTTAGCCTCCTTATAAAGTTTACTCCTCTCATATCAGATGTTTAATATATACGTATAGTATTAAATATAGACTAAAAATAACTAATTACATAGATTACGACTAATCTGTGAGATGATTTTTTAAACATAATTAGTCTATGATTTGATAATGTGGTGCTACAGTAACGTGTGCTAATAACTAATTAATTAGGTTTAATAAATTCGTCTCGCGGATTACTGATGACTTCTATAATTTATTTTATTATTACTATCCAAACACTCCCACGTAATACCCGATGTGACGTCTCTGAACTTAACTTCTGGATTTAAACGCCACCCTGGATTATTTCGCGCCTAAGGGGCAGCTACGTAGAGTACCTAAGCTAGCGTCCGGCGCACGTACGTGGTGGAGCCGTGAATGTGGCGGTACGTGGTGGATTCGGCACGGGCACTTATCAATTCTGGCCGCCCGTCTCTGACGACGTGAATGCAACCCCGTACGTGGGCCTGGACGCCTGGTCGCCATATGCCGCCGTTCTCTTGCCTCTGTTGGCGAAAGCACCACGAGACGACTGCAAGTGCGTGCCTACTACTACGTACGAGTACTTGATTAGGCATTTGTTTCTGTCCTGCCACAGTTGTTGTTGGCCGTTCATTATGCTCCGTCGTCACTGGTCACTGCGGTCCGACTGTGGAGGGTAGTGGCACGCACCGTATTTGGCAATTCGGTGCAACGTGGGCGTCATGCGCAAACTAACTTTGCCAGTACATGCAAAATGTAGCTTTATATCACTCACGATCCGCTTGGGTTGCGACACGTGCATCATCAAGTAGAAAAGGCCATCAGGCATCAGCCTCTCCTTCCAGGAGCGTAGAGCCGGTCGGGTCCTGTGATCCAGTGGCATCTTCGATTTCCACGTGGGGGAACGAGCAACTGCGCAAGGAAGGACTCAGATTGTGTGGTTGCTGACATGATCGATCAAAGTTTGTTAAACTGAATGAAACCAGGATTGCAAAAATTTGCAAAACTGTCCTGACAGACAACCTGCGAAATCTCCTCACCCGACCTATGATGGCATGGAATTGGAATTTGTCCCGCGGCCTGCAACTGCAGCACAAGCTTGGAAGCTTTCCATTGCGTTTGTTCTTTTTTGATGAAAATTCAAGCTTTCCATTTCTTATCCCGGCCTGCAACAAGAACAAGACCATGGACGAGATCCGCTCAAACCCGTTGTTGCTTACCAACCCCTCTCTCTTAACTGCCGGACCCAAGCCGAGTCACCCAGGGACCAGAAGGCCAGGACCCCGGCCAATCCGGCCGTCCGTGCACCAAGATCGAGCGCTCACCGCGTCAGCAGTTGACAAGATCCCGGCTTCAAACCATTTCGCCTCAAAGATACTACTAGGTTTAGTCCACCAAATTCCCAACTTCGACACTATGTAAAAAGAAGATTCTCTGTCACATCAAATTTACAGTACATGCATGGAGTACTAAATGTTGACCAGGACCCCGGCCAATCCGGCCGTCCGTGCAACATTTTCGAGCGCTCACCGCGTGGATAATTATTACCAAATTGAAAAGCGTTACATCGGCTTCAGTAAATCTCATTTCGCCTCAAAGCAACTACGCGCCCTACTAGTTTTTTTTTTTTTATTTAGAACAAAAAGAGAATATTACTAGTGTTGAGGGGAGAACGGCAGCAATAAAGAAAAGGAAAATGCACATGCCATGACATATTGACATGGGTATCCATCACATCAGCGGCCACAAAAAGTGACGAGGATTCCGCCCGATTTCTTCCAGCCCCTTCAACCCCAGCTCGCGCACAACTCAACGCGCCTACCGCCCCCCACGCCGGACACCCGTATATATGCCACCCCTGCCCGCCTTCCGCTTCCGTGTCTTCTTTTCTCATCTCATCATCCCATCTCGAACTCGTCTCGCTCATTCATCCATCCATCCGTGTTCGTGTTGCTTCACCGCCTTCTCTTCGGATTGGGATTGGAATCGGATTGCATCGTTACAGACTCAAGGTACATACAGCAGCAGCATCAATGGCTAGCGGCGCGACGAGCGACGCGTGGCCATCCTCCCCCTACTCCTCGTCGGCGCCCGACGGGGAGGTGCTGCGCTCCCTGCACCGCCTGGCGCGGGACCTGTCGGCGGCCGAGGCGCCGGCGCCGTTCCTGCGGGCGGTCTTCGCGGCGGTGGCCAGGCGGGCGCGCCTGCTCGCGGCCGTGTTCGACGACCTGCTGCTCTGCGGCGCGGGCGCAGGCCCGCTGCTGCCGCGCTCCGCGTCGCTGTGCCTCCGGGAGCTCCTGCTGGTGCTGCAGCGGTTCAAGGCGCTCGTGGCCGACTGCGCCGCGCGCAGCCGCACGCGCCTGCTGCTCCAGTCGGACGAGGTGGCGGCGCGCGCGCGGGAGCTCCAGCACGACCTGGCCACGCTCCTTGACCTGCTCCCCGTCGCGGACCTCGGCCTCGCCGACGACGTGTCGGACCTCCTGGCGCTCACGTCGCGGCAGTGCCGCCGCGCGGCGGCACCGGAGCTGGAGCTCAAGGCGGGCGTGCTCGCGCTCATCCAGGAGGTGGAGCGGGAGATCGTGCCGGAGCGGGAGAGGCTGGAGGGCGTCCTGGAGGACGTGGGCATCAATGATCCCGCCAGCTGCAGCGACGAGATCGAGACCTTGGAGCGGGAGATCGGCGACCGCGTCGCCGACAGGTGGACGTCGTCGATGATCGCCCTCGTCGGCCTCCTCCGCTACGCCAAGTGCGTCCTCTTCAGTGCCGCCACGCCGCGGCCCGTGGACTCCAAGGTGGATCTCGACGACGGCGACGGAGACGACGACGCGGAGCCACCGTCGCCGCCGCTGGACTTCAGGTGCCCCATCTCCCTCGAGCTGATGGGCGACCCCGTCGTGGCTTCTAGCGGTCAGACGTACGACCGCGACTCCATCACGCGGTGGTTCGGCTCCGGCAAATCCACGTGCCCCAAGACCGGGCAGGTGCTGCCCAATCTGGAGCTCGTGCCCAACAAGGCGCTCAAGAACTTGATATCGCGGTGGTGCCGGGAGAACGGCATCCCCATGGAGAGCAGCGAGTCTGGGAAAGCCGAGCCGGCGCCGGTGGTGGTAGGCGCGAACAAGGCCGCGCTGAAGGCGGCGCGCATGACGGCGTCGTTCCTAGTGAAGAAGCTGTCGGCCTCGTTCTCCCCCGAGGCGACCAAGCGCGTGGTGCAGGAGATCCGGCAGCTGGCCAAGTCCGGGTCCGACAACCGCGCGTTCATCGGGGAGGCCGGCGCCGCGGGGCTCCTCGTGCCGCTGCTCCTGTCCGAGGACTCAGCTCTCCAGCTCAACGCCGTCACGGCGCTGCTCAACCTCTCCATCCTGGAGGCCAACAAGAAGCGCATCATGCACGCGGAGGGCGCCGTGGACGCGCTCTGCCACGTGATGTGCTCGGGTGCCACGTGGCGCGCGAAGGAGAACGCCGCTGCCACGGTCCTCAGCCTGGCGGCCGTCCACACGTACCGCCGCCGGCTCGGCCGGAACCCGCGCGTCGTCGACAGCGTCGTGCGGCTCGCGCGCACGGGGCCCTCCAGCACCAAGAAGGACGCGCTGGCGGCGCTCCTGTGCCTGTCCGCCGAGCGGGAGAACGTCGCGAGGATCGTCGACGCCGGCGCCGCGGAGGCCGCGCTGTCCGCGATCGGCGACGCGGAGGCCGCGGCCGCGGTGCTGGCGTCGCTGGCGAAGCGCGGCGGCGCGGAGGCGATCGTGGCGCTGGACGGCGCCGTGGCGCGGCTGGTGGCCGAGATGCGGCGCGGTACGGAGTGGTCGCGGGAGTGCGCGGCGGCCGCGCTGGTGCTGCTGTGCCGGCGCGCGGGCGCCGCCGCGGCGTCTCAGGTGATGGCGGTCCCGGGCGTGGAATGGGCCATCTGGGAGCTGCTGGGCACAGGCACGGACCGCGCGCGCCGCAAGGCCGCGTCGCTCGGCAGGGCGTTCCGGCGGTGGGCTGCGGCCGCCAACGCGGAGCAGGGCACAGAGTGCCCCACCTCCGGCGACGCGACGGCGCTGACGATGGCGTCGTGAAATCCACTACTGCACGATCGATCAGTAGTAGAAAAAGCTCCAAGAAGAAGTCAAACCATTTTTTTTTACCACGATTCTTGTACAAAATTTGTTCTTGGCCGTTAAGGCCTTCACGATTCTTTGGTCCGTGCTTCGGGCCGTGATGAGTAATTGATCAACTGTGAATACAAGATAGTACTGTAGTACGTACATTTTTCTTTTTCACCAAAAATTGTCACGCATTGTCCTGTCTCAAGAAAATACAAAGGAAAGCAACAAAATCGCTCCATGTAGTGACTTCAGCTCTATTATTTGTTCTGATGTTCGCATTCCTAACAAGCGCAATTAACGTTGTCGTCCGTTCTCAAATTTCGTACGAACGCAAGACAACTCCTCCGATGATTGTGTACAGTCGATGAGTGCAGCTAGGCTGGCATGTCCTCGCGGGCTCGTTGCTGGCGGTGCCGGTGCCGGGGACAGAAATTCCAGCCTTCCGGTCGGTTGATCAAAAAGAAGGCCGACGAATGTGCGGCTCAGCTGGAAACGCTTGGCGAGGGAGGCAACGGGCGCAGACCCAGCTTGCATTCGCCGGCTTTTGAGCAGAAAGGCCGCCGCTTTGCCTTGCTGCCAGCCAGTGTGCATCTTGATGCCAATGATGTATCTTTGGCGACGCGTCGCGTTGCTTCAAGTACGCCATCCTTGCCGTTCCCTTTGAGAAAGCAAAGATACCCCTCCTTTTCTGAACGAAAAAGATACTCCTGTACCGAGTACCGTATCGTTTTCTAAGGTGTGGCTGTCCATGGCTCTGCTGAATTCTGGTCGACCGACGAGCGACGACGTGTGTGGCCTGAAGAACCGAGATGCAGGCGCGTCTCCGTCCGCTGGCTGATGCGTGATTGACTGTTGATTGGGGGCGATGCTGTGTGTGTTGGTGTTGCGGTGGCCGCAGGCCGCCTCTGCGTCTGAGTTTCCTTCGACGGAAGCGCTTCCCGTGTGCTTACGCATTCAGAGGCCACAAGCTAGAACACGCTTCGATGGCTTACCACGTAACCGGTGGTGCGTACGCGTTGAACTGACGACGGTGGCTTGCATCTGCTGCACGCAAGCTCTTTAAGGAGAGAACCCAAGAAAGTCAATCGGTACGAAGGCTAGTACCACAACCCCCGGTGTTGATCTTTTTCAGCACAAATATTGGCGTGGCCATGCGACGTTTAGAGGCAGTTTGGCAAGCGAACTGCCCTACAGCACAGTGTTTTTCTGTTCTGAAGTATAGTAATTAGTACTTGAGGGAGTAGGGCTGCAGGGATTATATTATTATTACTACCATGTTTAATAACATGCGGCTGTAAAAGATACTGATCTGAGGGCGACAAGGACAACTGGGATTGCCGCACTCTGGCACGTGTAATCTCTAATCTTTTACGAAGTTAGGTAAAGGTCAGGTAAATGACTCGAGCAATTTACGGAGAAAAAGACTGCGACAGGTGAACGATGATCAATTGCTGCTGGCTGCCGCTGCTGTTGCCCAAATGACTCGAAGCTGTTCGTTTGAATCTTATCAGTCGATTTATTAGCTAGAATTCATAATATATTTTTTTACAATAAAACAGTTTCAGTCGACTTATTAGCCGGTTTTAATACCAGCCGAATAGGTCCGAAGAAGAAGAGCAGAACACTTTTGCACGGTAGGTGGTCGGTAGATCGCCGCAGAAATGGCAATTGGATGGTTCTCGCAACAGAAACGGATGCGCATCAATTTCATTGACCGAACTGCACACTTACATACATGTAAATAAAACGTGTCATTTAGCCTTTTCTTACCACTACTCCACTACTAGCGCTCTTCAGTCTTCACCCTCGCTCTGTTTTTTTTCAGTTGGTCTGAACATGGATTAATAAGAACTAATTAATGCGCTAATTCTATTATTTTTTATTAGTCTATATCCAACTAATGTTATAAAATGGACTATTTTTTAATCCTATGAAATTCAAACATTCCCGAAGAAACGGTTTCTTTCCATCTAGAGAGAGTAGAGAGGGACTTTCGCTGTCAGATCGATCGGATACTACTTGCTAGTACTTTATATATTTCATCTTATATTCATCTTATATTTATCTGTCAACAAAGATTGCCGGCCATCCTCAATTCCTCATTCCTCATCCACGTGGACCGGATGTCAAGACCAACAGATACAAATAAAATCGAACCAAAAGTTGATGAAAGTGACCATTAGCCAGCTTCCAATCATTCTTTTTCTGGACCAAAGTTTGATTAAATATATAAATAAAATATTAATGTTTATAATGTTAAATAAATATTCCATAAATATATATTTCATAATAAATCTAATGGTACCTATTTTTTTATAAGAACTTGCTTGTCTAGCTAAACACTAGAAAAACCGGCGCGGCTTTGCCACGCCCAGTTTGGAGTGTTCTAGTGGATGAATGAATCACGTTTTGTTGTGCCAATGTACCTTAATTTTGTATCGCAACAATGTTACTTTATTAGGACAAATTTACAGGTCATAGTAGTACGAATTGCATTATACCGATTGAAAATGGTAATTATAAACCAGGATTTTTTTTTTGCCTGTTGCCTCTTAGTAGAAGTGCAGCATTTATGTCTTGTGAAGATCAAGGGAAATTATTCTCTGATTGAGGAACCAAAATTTTCTTTTGATCAAAAGTCTTTCTATCTTGTGAAGATCCAGGGATCTTCAAGTTTTTGTAAAGTTTTACCCAGCACATTTTCCCTGAAAAACAAATATTCCAGTCTATAATTTGACTAAACACAAAATGAAGGATATTTCAGACGCATAACGTAGAAGTGCAACCAGTTATAATGTGTGTAAATCATAATAAACACACCAAATGCTTGCGAAAATATGGCATTATGGATGTTGTCATTCGTTTGGTATATCAGGGGCAACACTGTATTGGATGAAGCTCGTAATCTTGGAGCTTAGAGCCAATGGAAAATATGGCAATGAAGGCAGTGTCACAATCATCGTATTGACTCCTATGTTCAACGCTCTGAAATTGCATATATATAAGAAAAAAATAACATATAAGGTGCGCCGGTATCAGCTACCTTTTCACCTCAATATTCGAGTCCAATTGTTACCCTTTTTTATGTATAGGTCGGGTAGCTCTGGAACTTGCTTTTTGTATTATAAAGGAAGCGGGGCTTCTGCAAAGTAAAGAGGTCATTGAGTTTAATATCTCTGTTACGCACTGTATCAAACTTGTAGGCAGGTAAATTAGATCGTCAAACATAGAAAGGGGATGAAAAGGTTCTGAAGTACAAAATCACCTTGATGCTGGTGGAGCTGTGTGGTAAGCGTCAGAAGTCCTTTTCCTCTGATTGATAAATTCTTCTAATGCTTGCAGAGCAGCTATGGCCATCTTTCGGGATTCCTCAATCTCTCCCTCATCAAGAATCAATCTGTGGAAATAGTATGCAACAGCCTAGCTGGCCAAGGGGGAACAACAAAATGACACTATTAAAATGTACACAGATGGAAGGATAATTACACTAGTGGAGAAATGAGATCTAGTGAAAGTTGGGAATTAGACATCTAATAATCGATTTATGAATCGTTGGAGCAAGATGACTGATAATAAGGGACTAAAGATGTTTCCAGCATTTGATCATCACGCAAGCTAAGCACAATTTTACTGACTAAAGATCCTGGTTTATCATTTTAAAAAAATGCCTGCCATCAACCCACCGGAGGTTATTAAGATTGGCTCTGACAAGACCTAAAAATTTTCTTTCAATCAAAACATTTGTGTAATTAAGTAGTACCACCAAGTAATTATACAAAACACATCTAACAATAGATGTGATGAATTCTTTTGAACTAATCAACCATCTATTAAGCTTTAGGCCGGATTTGATGTTACTATTGAATGTACTGCATAAAGTGGAATGGATTAATTTAGGTGGATTATAATCTGGTGTAATCAACCCGGAAAAAAAGAGTCACCTTTAGGCACTCGCAAAGCCCCAAAAACCGGCAAGAGTAAAGGTTGAGGATTTTAGTCCCGGTGGTTTATGGCTCCAACCGAGGTAAAGGGGCACTTTTAGTGCCGGTTGGTATCTCCAATTTTTGACTAAAGGTCCTCGCCATCATGCCGAAATGATGAGAGTCGAAGTAGAACCTTTAGTCCCGGTTGGTGTCTCCAACGGGACTAAATCTCTTTTAGCCTCGCCGCGCAAAAAATGCGAGACTAGAGAGCTCATTTTGGCCTCGGATGAAAGGTCTGTTCTCTACTAGTGTTATGCACAGATGAATGATGATATGGAACAGAAATTGTGATAATGAAAGTAAAATGAAAATTGTGACATGAAATAATCGATTTATGAATCGTTGGAGCAAGATGAGTGATAATAAGACTCAGAAAGACACATGTTTCCAGCATTTGATCATCACGCAAGCTAAGCATAATTTTACTGCTAATGTTACCTTTGGTTTATCATTTGCTAGTCCAAGTTGCATATCAACCCACCGGAGGCTATTAAGATTAGTGGCTCTGACTGAACCCTAAAAATTTTCTTTCAATCAAAACATTTGTGTAATTAAGTAGTATTGCCAAGTAACTATGCAAACCACATGAATTTTTTTCTTGGTTAAAATACATTCTGAATTCTTTTGCTTAAAGCAATCAACTGTCTATTAAGCTTACCGGCACGTTTTGTACTTGCTACTATTGAATGTACTGCATAAAGTGGAATGGATTAATTTAGGTGGATTATAGATCTGGTGTAACAACTACCAAGTAGAAAACTAGAGCTCTGAAGGAATGAAAATAGTTTGAATATATATCTTGATGTGAAAAATAAAAAGTTTCCCATGTCTTCTCTTCTCAGAGCTTAGGATCATAAGCAGTTGACATTGCCTTTGGTATGACCTGTTGCTTACTTTCCCAGCTATTGTTGCCCTTTCTTATATAACTACTCACGTTGGGAAAACAACTTAATCTGACCTGTAAATAAAGAGAAAAGAACCATGAAT